TGGTGATAATGACCGCGATAAAAAAGAATGCAGCGGGCGATTTTTTTTTTCAATTTTGATAGGGAGAGCGGGATCAGTTTCATATTCGATCAGCATCATATTATCTTTTAAATGGATTACTTGGCATTGACCGATGAAATTTCTGTTCCGGTACTTTTTTCATCTCAATTGCTCTCACTTGCTCTAATGGTTGTTCCCTGCTTATCTTTCCTCGCGCGTGACTCCGCCCTCCTTCCGCCGACACGCGCATATGGCGAAGTGCGTACGCACCACGGAAACTTAACAGCATGAGGGTTTCAGATGTTGCCAGTCTCGTGCTGAATAAATTTTGTTGTTTTTGACGATGTTAGTGGGTCTGTTGTGCTAGGTTCATGTCATGCTTTCCAGCTTATTCCCGCATACGAATCATTCAGTATGTTTGGAGACCGATTATTGTGCCACCCAAACATACATATGCGTTGATTGGATCATAGAGTGTCCAGTCTAAACCACTTTTCAGATTCATCCGATCGTTGCCAAATTCTAAGACAAGAGAGGGTTGAATTTTTCACATTTTTCAAAAACTTCCTAGAGATGGTGGGACGATTCAGTGCAATACCACTTCTGCCTACTTTGACAACTATCGAATGAGTTTTTATGCGTATGTTAACGTAAACTGTTGTTGATCTCGATGTGTTCTGATGTGAGATTATGATTTGTTGAAATAATAAGGATAAATGGTGTATGATCGATTAAACGTACAGGATAAAGTCAACTCTAGTGGAAGAATAGAAAAATTAACTCAATGGAAGGTCCACTGTCGAAGTGGACCAATGTGGTTCACGGATGGCAGTATAGATGGTTTGTACTTGGCGATGACACGTTATGTTATTATACGTCAAAAGACAAGATGATGAGACGTCAGCAGCGAGGCTGTATTCGTTTGAGGGGTGCTGCGATTGGGATTGACGCCGAAAACACTTCTTTATTCACCATCACTGTTGATAACAAAACATTCCATATGCAAGTCAGTCGCTATTTTCATATCTTCTCTTCAAATATCCAACCCTTTATTGAGAGAAAGGAAGAGAATTCAGATAAATACCCAACCGTCAAAATTTTTTGAGAGGAAGAGAATTCAAACAACATTTGAATGGAATGATGCATAAGTGAAGGTAAATAAATAAATGAACGCTCGTCGACTTCGATAATGAGTTTAATGAATCCAAAATGAATGAATGAATAAAATTGCTAGGGTCGTGATCGGAAGGAACGTGATAGTTGGGTGAGAGCATTGGAAGAAGTAATTCATCGATACAGTGGATATTACCGACCACGTCAACAAACATCTACAATGAACACTTTGAAAGCGAAGATTATCGAAGCAGATAAACATCTTCAGGATATGATAACTGAAGTTAGTTGTCATCTTTATTGCTTTTCCAGTATTCCACTTTTGATACTTTTCGTTAAAATCGTTCAATGCCTATCAACTCTTTTATGGGCAAGATAACGTCATCAAGCTTTGATGAAAATTGCATTTATTATTGATTGATGTGTTTTGTTTTTCATAAATCATGATGTATGTTTTAATGAATACGCGTATGTTAAACAGTTTTATAAACCGTTAGATAATCAACACATACTGTTCGTATGTCTCTACACTGCATCACTTCCTTAGTAAATGATGTATTCTTATGTATTTATTTCGGACTGTTTCAAAAATTTATCTACTCTCGACCATCAAAAGTAAACGCTATTATTTTTTGTTAATGCACAACGTCTGCCAAACGATGAGAAGATGCATAATCTTATCAGCAATGTGAAATATTGACATGTTGTATGTGAATGCAACTTTAGGATAATGATTATAGGTGAAGGAATTAGAAAGTTTTGCCAGTAAAGCAGAGGGGCAAACCAAAAATACAGTTGAAGAATTGTTGCGATCGGCCAAACGTCTTCTCGATACAGTAAAACACGCAGTGATTTTATTGCAAATGGCCAGAAATAGTGTAGAAGCAGTGTCGTTCTCAGACACTGCACAGGATGGTGACAGTGAGGATGTGGATGAACTACAGCTGAAAACATCGAATAAGGTTTAGTTATTTATTATTGATGTGGTCAGTATTAATGAAGTGATGGCGTTTGTTTTAGAGTGATATTGTCGACATAATTGCTCCGTTGTCGTATTCAAGTAGTGAAGAAGAATTTTTTGATGCGGAAAGTCCTTTGGAAGAAGTGATTGAGAGTGAGAATGTGGTGAATAAGTCGAAAGGGAGTGTTACTGGAGTGAGTTATGGAGATGAAGAGGAGGATTTCGATGCTTTATATGATGATACTGAAGAGACTGATGTTGGTAACGTTCAGCAACAACACGGTTCTGTGCTTATGCATCTCCTTTCACAAGTATCATTCACTTTGTTTTCTTGATTCATGATATATGGTTATGGGATGATGAACAAGCAGCTCGCTACTTTTCGAGAATAATCAGATATACAACGATTTCCGGTTGAGATCGTCTCTGTGGTGGACTGAAATAGGAGTAGGTAATGTTTATCAGTGCTAGCGTATTGTTTTTTTAAGCTAGAGTCGAGACAGAAGTACAAATAGAATAATTAAAGATGTATGCATGTAATGGCAACAAGATAGGAAGGTTCCAAAGAAATATGTGATTCTTAGTAAAAGGTGATGTTTATGTGTTGAGGGACGCATGCTAAAGTTATTTCCAATGATTCCTTTACGCAACGACTGGCCCGTTTAATTCCTTTACATGAGCGGAATATACGAAGCAACAATCTCCCATTCGTTTTTCGTTGCAATGTGGCTTAGTCTCTCCCGTGCGTTAGACAGTAATCTCCCGTTCTACCGTGACCAGTTGTTGTTCTATGGCGAAAATGTCAGCAGTGAATAAATATTGCCATATTCTCATTTCAGTCCAGTGTATCAAACAAAAGCGTTTTATTTCTGACTCGTGAACGAACAGTTGTTTAAATAAGTATTTTGAGGTGAGCGTTGGAATGGATTTAACAAAAGTTACATTACCAACGTTCATACTGGAACGTCGATCATTATTGGAGATGTATGCCGACTTCTTTGCACATCCGGATAGTTTTGTTGTAGCGTGTGATCTAGCGTCACCTGAAGATCGATTCATCGCTGTTGTTCGTTATTATCTTGGTGCATTCTACGCAGCCCGTAAGAGTGGTGTTGCCAAGAAGCCATATAATCCGATTCTTGGCGAAACCTTTCGATGTACGTCGTTGATTTCGTTTTTATCAATCATTTTGGCATTCATCACTGTTTATTTTTCTGTTCACTCAGTTCTTCAGAATTGCTCAGCAGTTATTTTGTCAATTAAGACAGGACTTATATTTACGTTAATTCAATAAAATAGCGATATTGATTGTTTGACGTCAGCTTTATCGACAAAACTGTTATTTTAGGTCGATGGAATGTACCTCAGTTGGCATCCAGTGGTCAGAAAACGTGTCGAGGTCCGTTCCCTGGCTCAGACGTCAACCAGTTGACGTTCATAGCTGAACAAGTCAGTCATCATCCGCCTATATCGGCATTTTATGCTGAATTACCTTCCAAAAAGATTTCAATTAATGCACATATTTGGACCAAATCGTCATTTCTTGGTCTCTCAATCGGTAATATTTACATATTTTGTATAAATTCAAGTTTTGAGCCTATTATTCGAGTTAAAGATTGTGTACCTATATACATGCAAATATATGTTTTAAGTACATAAGATCTTGTAGGAGTGGCAAATGTAGGCTGGGCTACAGTGAAGTTACATGAATTTGATGAAGAGTATACGGTGACGTTTCCAAATGGGTATGGTAGATCTATAATGAGTACACCATGGGTTGAACTTGGTGGAAAAGTTTGTTCATTCACTTCTTTGCTTCTTATTTTAGTTGTTATTTTATTATTGGATGATGTAAGTTGATTGACTTGTCAAGTTAAGATATTTTTTGACGTCGTACTGAGACACTTACTGAGGTCTTATTTGCAAAGCTGAATCAGTTTGCACAGACAATGCATCTGAAAAGGTACAGTCGTTGTTTGTTCGCATCATGGTTCGGTAAACGAACCGGTTGATATTGTACGTTCGTACGTATGGCTGTTGAGTTGATCCGTTTGGGTTCAGTTGAAGGTAGCGTTGCTCTACCAAGTGCACGCCCATTGTTGTGTACTAATGAAACGAAGAGTCTACGATGCTCAGGTAACAGTCAGTTGTCCGAAGACGGGTTATTGCGCCGACATTGAGTTCTTAACGAAGCCTTTCTTTGGTGGTAAAGCACATCGAATAAATGCGAACATCTATCGAGTCGGCTTCAAAAAGCCAATACTGAATATAAAAGGTGAATGGAATGGTACGATGTACGCGCGACCGTTGAATGGTGATGAGTATGTTTTCATTGATGTCAAAGAGAAGACCGAAAGCAAAAAGGTTTTGTTGTTGCATTGATTCTTTTTAGCAGCCTATTGCAAATTTTAATGTTTTTATTAAAATTAATTTCTCATATTCTCGTTAAGGTTGAAGTGCTGTTTTATGAACGTAATTGTTTTGTTATTGAAAAGCAATAACTGGAATAATGGTGCTGAATGTGATTTTTTTCAAAGGAATGTGTGCGAGTGATGGAACAAGGTGAGCGTGAGTCACGTCGTTTGTGGAGGCACGTAACGGTTGGTCTGAAACGAAATTGTATCACCTTAGCGACGAACGCAAAACGTTGGATTGAGCAACGACAGCGAGATGAAGCACGACAACGCCAGGTGACTATTTCATTATGAAGTTCATTGTTTTATTATTAGTTTTCATACATCAAGTTTCATTATGAAGCACGACAACATCTCATTATTCGTTGAGCACTAGTATTCAGTTGTAACCTTTGTTGATGATTGCAGGAGAACGGTGTCAAGTATGAGCCAACGTTGTTTGTGGCTGAAGGTGATGATTGGTTGTATAAGGATGCATTGAGCTTTCAATAATCATCAAATAGCAACCCATAAATGTTGATCAGTTGGGTATATCTTCTCCAACTGTGTGCTCTTTCTTCCGATTAACACATCAACTCTTCGTTCGTCTGATATCAGTTTTTTTTTTGCTGAAAAAGAAGTTATCCTTTGTCAGAATGTATTATTTTTAGTGCAGCTAAATGATGAGTGATGGGTGGTAGAATTTATTTATTAAAAGTAGATATGTATGAGCGTGTCGTTTCGGTTTGGTTTGGTTGATAGTTTTGTTCGCGGCTCAGATAGGACTTTGGTAGTGGGAAAAGGGGATATCATGATATGTATTGTTGAAAGGGACGTTATGTTTTTTGTGTGTATATATATATATGTAACATTTTGAAGTGTGCAGTCCAATGAATGATTGTCAGTTTTTATTGAAGTTTTATTGTTACTTTTTCGTTTACTTTTTGCTCATTCGACTTGTTTCGGTTTTGGTCGTTAACACGTTTGTAATTTTTGTTGTTTGCTAATTTATGATTTGGTCATTCACGTGGAATGTGATACGTGTTTGTTTGGTGTGATGCATGTACGATGATCCAAGTAAAATGATCGTCTTCATTTGAAAAGTTCACTAGTAACTTTTATCATCAATTTTATGGATGGTCGGGATAATTGGTTGATAAGTTGTTCATTTTTAGATGTAATTATTTGTTGATTGTGTTTTTTGTGAGATTGCAAGAGTATATCTGTGAGAGAGGTTGAAAGATATTCTGATAGACGGATCCACAAATCGTTATTAGGATGAATATTGTAAAAATTTGATAGTCTATTTGTTTTCGATTTGTTTTTTGTTTTTTTGGACAAAGTTTATTGTTATTTTGTTTGTTAAGTTATTCATTTGATTCAGCAGAATTTCTGCGATGGAATTGAAACATAATGAAGAATGATCGAATTTTGTTGTTACTTTTGAGAACGTCTGATAATTTGTTATATTGTTTTATGGATATTCATTCATCTGTTTTCATTTATGAACTAATGATTCTAATTCTTTGTCAAATACATCGGCCGTCGCGTTGCGTTCATTATGTTGCGCTTGTTCATTTTTTTGTTTTTCTGTGATAAACTGTTCAAACACAGCTGCTGTCTGCTTTTGAACTTGTTTCATTGTTCAAGTGTTTGTGTTTGACAAGAGTATATTTGTATTGTGCACAATGAAGCGTTGGGGTTGGGTAGGTGTGTGATACGATATGAAATGAAATGCGTTTTGAGGGAAGATGTGTTCAAGAACGAAGCAATTGAATGTAGCCAAGCAACGAGTGGTTGCGATGCAAAGTGTTGTTTTAAAGGATTGCATCCTGATTTGGGTAGGGGATCATCGACGAGTCGATTCGCTTGGCTTTGCGTTCGCATCCAGAAGCGCCATCCTGTTAGACGATGCTGCAACTATGCGTGCCACATTTCCAGTTGATTCAATCACATCCACTATCAGCAAGCTATTCCCCCAAAAACAGGTGAATACCTGAGATTGTTTTGTTGGTTTATTATTTGTTGGTTATTAGATATATCGGCATGCATAAATGTTCACTTTGAGGTGTTCTTCTCAACAGATCTGAGTACAGAAGATAACGAGTTGTGGTCAGATGTGGTCAAAGGTATCGCAGAGGATGTGGCATCGAATAAGGATTTTTATGGTATTGCTAGCTGACGAACGATGAGTATTCGTGATTGCGTTACGAACAAGTTGCTTTTGTGTATTGTAATTGACAGATGTTCGCATAAACATATTCTCACTTAATTTGTTCGTTTCATTTTTCAATAACGTTACGTCGCATCCACTGAATACTTTCATTAATTAATCTTTCTCAATAATTTCAATAAAACCCCCTTTCAGTTCGTGTAGAGTTCAGTTTAACTTAGATGTAAACGACTGATGAATCTTGAATATAAGTTGAATACACGGATGGATATCAAATGAAGTTGTAATTTCAACTACTGTTTCCATTTTATTGCATAACTTGATAAAGCTTCAATTGGCAAGCAACTCAAGACGTTTTAGAGCGGTCAAACTGCGCCAGTTAAGCAAAGATCAGTTTGATTTTGACGAAACATCCGAACAACATCAGTAGCATTTTTAATTTGGTTTGACAGGTCGGTTGTCTCACTTATTTACTTTCTGGACAAAAACTTTGTTTTTTTTTTTAAATCAGTCATAATTTTGCTCAAAACTAGAGAGGATATTAACGTGAGAGTTTGTATGGGTTGTTGATAAAAATGTTATGAAATTGATAAAGTTTACGGGTGATCACCGTTTGAATAAAAAAATTTACAGTGGAAAGTGATCAATAAAAGAAATGCTTCGACGAGCACTGTATGAATGTGATGTATTGGGTGTGCGCATAGTGCGTTCGTTATCGAGTGATGCCAAAGTAAAGAAAGGCAAGATGAGTGCTGAGGATATCGTCAAAAAGAAAACACCGAAAGGAAAATTGGACGATGTAATGGAGAAACCCTATGAAGACCCTTATTTGCCACGTCATCCAGGAGGTGTTAACCCGGTAACTGGTGAAATTAATGGTCCAGCCGGTCCTGAACCAACCAGATACGGTGATTGGGAACGCAAAGGACGTGTTTCAGACTTCTGAATCGCTTCGATTCATGCTCTTTCTGCTTATATTTGTATTGGTCATCTGTAGAATATTATTATTAATATTGCTAATATTATTATTAATATTATTATTTTGTGTTGCAGTCTTGACTATCAGCCTGTGTGATCAATAAAATTATATATTTTGTTCAGTTGAACGCGAAGAGTTGTTATATTTGAACAGTTATGAAGTTCAGCATTCTTATTTGTTTATCTGAAACGAAGATACGCAGTTCGCTTAATTGTTAACTGCTCTGAAGGTTCTTGATTGTTGCGAAGAGTGGGTCAGATTAAAACATAAAATTGTGCTGGTTGAAAGCATAAATTAAGTTTTCGGTTAGAATTCAATAGTGGTTTGCATCAAATTTGCTCAATCACAAACATATAATGATTTCCAAACATCTTTATAATAGCAAGTTTCGTGACGAACATTGATAAGGAACGCATTGATGATTTTGGACTGGTTTGTTTCATAAAAGCGTTATCAATTGACTAGAGTTGCTCTCACATTGTAACTATTTGTGTGTAAATCGCTCGACTAACGTTTCGATAGATAACGGCTTATGCAATTTCGTCTTAAAGTGAGAGTTGAATTTTTGAAAAATACGGTAGTTGTTGAATCATGAATTGTGATGATCTCTTGAAGAAGAACAGTTTTGAGAAGATCGTCGCGGCTTTTCAGAAAGGAATTTATTTGGTTCGTTTGAAGAGTTGTGGTGCGAATGAAACTTGTGTGTTAGCGTGCGTCTTATTGATAAGTTGTTTAGTGCACTGCTTATGCTTTGTGCCGGTTTTGTGTGTTCATTGCTAGTATGTTCGCATTTTTAGATTACATTTTGTGTCTGATTAAGACAAGCACTGTAGAGGGAGTGAGGTGAGGACGATTTCGGTTTGCCACATGGCTGCTGGGAGATTGCCTGCGTGTGTTATTGACAATGGCACTGGGTTAGTGGATCTTTTTTCTTGTGCAGCCTCTGAATTTTTTTCTCGTTCAACATATTTTCTAGGAGTTTTTGGAGAATTTCAATTCAGTTATAACTGTCATTCATCTGTCTCCTGAGTGAATGTTTCTTTCAGTTGCTTGATAATCTCTGAAATGTGCTAAGTTTATTTTCTCATCAAAGTTCTTTTCAGATACACAAAATTAGGCTATGCGGGTAATAGTGAACCGCAGTTTATCATTCCTTCCGGTAAGCTAAACACAATAAATTATTTTGTTTTTCGACTTAACGTTTCTTTTAAGATCAGTTACGATTTTTTGGCTAGATTCAATACTTGACAGTGCTGGTATGGTTCATCCACCATTTCTTCTCTCTCAAAGCAAACGTTTCACTTTAAGCGATAGCGGTCAAGGAAAAGGTCGGTGCACAGTCGTCGGCCTTGCGCTGGAATACCGTCGGTTCAAGTCGAATCGATGATCTGGATTTTTTTATTGGTGACGAAGCTCTATCTCCTGCAGCTGCGAATTATTCGGTTAAGGTAAAATTTAGAATGGTTTATAGAAACGGCCACTGTCATATTGTTTGTTGCAGTATCCTATTAGGCATGGTATTGTTGAAGACTGGGATCTTATGGAACGATTCTGGGAGCAGTGTATATTCAGATACTTGAGAGCCGAACCTGAAGATCATTTCTTCTTACTTGTGAGTGATTTTCCGGTCCGCATTCATGAAATACATTCAGAGAACAGGTGACTCGGTAGTATCAGTTTTGATTTGCAGACAGAGCCGCCATTGAATACTCCCGAAAATCGTGAATTTACGGCTGAAATAATGTTCGAGTCGTTCAACGTACCGGGTCTATACATAGCTGTTCAGGCAGTCTTAGCATTAGCTGCATCATGGCAAAGTCGTGATATTTCACAACGCTCTCTCACTGGTCTTGTCAGTTTTTCTTTTTTGGTTGTTCTTTCGCTTTTGTGTTTATTACTGAAACGTTTGAAATATGACCCTCTTTATTGAAGTGCACTTGCATGATGCTTGCTATCATCCTCACTGCAAAAAAATGATCGTTGTAAAGGTTTTGATATTTGTTGAGAAGATTCAATGCGTTGCAAATATTGTTTGAAAGTGGTATTTTGATTGGCTTACGAAGATGAGAAGAGCATCATCGATTGAAGGTTGTTGATAGCGGTGATGGTGTGACTCATTGCATTCCGGTTGCTGAAGGTTACGTTATTGGTTCGTGCATAAAGCACATTCCGATCGCTGGTCGCGATATCACCTATTTCATTCAGCAATTACTCAGAGAACGTGAACCTACCGTTCCGTCCGATCAAAGTTATGAGGTCGCTAAAGCTATTAAGGTTTGTTCCATTCATTTTTCGTTTTTTTTTTCTTTTTTCAATCTATCAGCTTATGATCTTATTAAACGAAAGATCATTTTGTGTTTGGTTGCTTTGTGTTTGGTTTGGTTGCTGCGGAAAAACTTTGTGTTTGGTTGCTTCAGGAAAAGTTTTGCTATGTGTGTCCAGATATTTTACGAGAATTCACGAAATACGATGCGGATAGTGCGAAATGGTTAAAGACATACAATGGCATCAACAACGTCACCAAAAAACCATTCGTTGTTGATGTTGGTTATGAGCGTTTTTTGGGTCCCGAAATATTCTTTCATCCTGAAGTAAGAGATTTATTTCATCTTGTTTTTCTCACATTCTTTTAGTGGTTACATTTGGCCGACAAACTGATTTGATTTATTGTGACAATCGCTAAATGGATAACGCAATTTGTAGTTTGCAAATCCGGATTTCACAACGCCTATCTCTGAAACAGTCGATTCGGTCATACAACAATGTCCAATTGACGTTCGACGTGGTCTCTATGAAAACATCGTACTTTCGGGTGGATCAACAATGTTCAAAGATTTTGCTAGAAGAATGCAACGTGATATCAAACGTATTTCTGATGCCAGACTTTCAATCAGTGAGCAACTATCTGGAGGACGACTTAAAGTATGTACAATAGTCATGATGTATTAATACAACTGATCAGTATTTACTTTCTTCAACATTCGTTCACTTTTCAGCCAAAACCAATCGACGTACAAGTTGTATCACACAAAATGCAACGATACGCCGTCTGGTTCGGTGGCAGTATGCTCGGATCAACGGTCAGCAGTATTTATTCACTTAGCTTTGTTTGTTTTGACGGGTTGTTGCATAGTGGAGTAACTTGCTTGATTGATGTAATCTTTTGACCATATAAATTGGTTAAGAAAGCTTTAGGCTAGCAAAACATGAATGAGTTCGGAAAGAGTGAAAACTTGAAACGTACCGTTTTTATTGAGTCTCTAAGAAGGTGCGCATGTTTAGGCAATATTTGCGATGTGATAATTGATCGCTATCGATAAATTGCAGGCAGAATTCTATCAAGTAGCACATACAAAGGAAGAATACATGGAGAAGGGAGCCAGTATTTGTCGACACAATCCAGTCTTTGGAGCGTTAACGTGATTTTGGTGGTTGTTAAACGGTGAGGAGTGGAGTGATGCTAACTGATGCCAACTCTGTTTTATAGGTTACTAGTTGTGTGAAGTTGTTTTGTTACAATTTTGATTACACTTCTCGTGCCGATTTTACTCAGAAGGTATTTGATTGATGGGCAATTCGGATCATGTGGTTTGTTTCGTGTTTCTTCAACAATGAGGTTTATTTCACTTGTGATTGATTCACGTTTTATTTCATTATCATTCGTCTTATTTGTCATCGTTGTTAATTCACTCGTTTTATATAGTCGTTGTGCTTATGTGTTCTTAGTTTTTAAGTTCTTTGACAAAGGGTTCAATCTTTTTTGATGCTGAAATTTTGAAAATTTTGCATTTATTAAATACGTTAAATATTGAATTCGCAATTGTTGTGCTCGTGTAACCGAAGTGATTGTTTCATTGAAGAATCTACTTGATTCGTTTTTGTTTCTTCGCTGATTCCATTCAATAGCGGAACATAAAGCATGAAGTTTGTTATACATGTAAGAGTTGAAATCGGTGGATATGTGTGAAAAGTTGGATTCATGAAGAAACATTCGCTTATCTGTAAAACTGACCATTTTTGTTTCTGATTGATATTCGAAGCTTATTATAAATGAACTTGATTATGATATTTGATGGTTAGGTAAGGGAGTACGCGAAGTGCATGACACATTATTATTATTGTTATTATTATTATTATAGCAAAAATCAATTCGAATATGAAATAATAAGGATTTCTCATGAAGAAATCGCTAACGAACTGAAAAACCGCATGTTTTTACGTACCGTTATTTTGATATCTTCAACTCGTATTCGAGCAAGAAATGTGTATTTATTTTGGATTGTCGTTCGTTTTACTCTCTAAATACGTGCAATTTTACGTTGAGATAAGAATCAACTGTACGCTGAATGATCGGGTCGTAAAGATCGCTTTCGAACTTTCATCGAGTAAAGATATGAGAATACAAAAGTAACATCAACTGATGAATGAATTCATTCGTTCCGTCAAGTTGCATCCGAAAACCACGACCATAGATTGAATTCGAACCATTTATTGCTTACTTATAAACACTTTTTTCTCGTTTATTCAACATATTCTGCTAATAAATTTGAAAGTTCACTATTGCTTGTGTACATTCCCCCCTACTCCTCAAACACTAACAAGTTTAACTTTGTCCAGGGTAAAACCTCTGAAAATACTCAATTTATATGCATTGATTCGAATATTTCGTAAGTTAATTACGAGTAGTGATGTCTTATTTGAAAAAACAAGAAGTGACCCAGCTTAGGCTTCGCATTTTTGAACTTTTGACTTCGGCTTTGCAATTTTCAAACGTTTGGCTGCAACGGCAACTTTGAATATTTCAGAAGTTGGGCTCCGATCCCACCTCTAAAATTAAATTGTAGTTTCCGGCTGTAATTGGTTTTTTTTTTCAACTTTTTCAAAAGCTACTGCTTTTGCTCCAACTTCAATATTTACTTGGACGATATAGTTGTTCTCTTATGATATTTTGAATATGTAATTAAAGTACTTCAGCTTAGGCTTATACCGTGATCTAGTATTTGCATATTGATCGTTCTGAAGCTGTATGAATAATACCTGTGATGACTGTGTGTTTCGGTTCAGGAGCTGATTGCTTTTAAATAAAGTTTGATAATATTGACATTATTGATACAGGTCATTCGGAAGATCACACTGGTGATATTTCGTAGGGTCAACTGATTGCGATGCGTATAGCTTGGAGCTGAACTGGAAAGGAATTTAGTGAAACGAGATACTGCACACGGAGGTACATTCCATTTGGATGATGATGAATAATATTTGAAACAATTTTGCCACTTATGACGACATACCGACACTCCGCTTGTGCCTCCAATAGAATACGAATGATGCTTGCGTCACCCTTATACCTGATAAACTATCCAACTGATATGAGTTCTTTGCCACCGAGAGTTTCACCAATTTTCAGAAGAATCAGGGATGAACACGCTATCGATAAACGATAGCTTCGCTATCGCTGAACTAGAAACTGTCAGTTCCACTAAAAAAAACGCCATATCGCTGTTATCGCCAGAACACTAGCGAAACGCTATCGCTGATCCGCTGATTAAGCAAGATTAGTCCGCTGTTCGCTATCGCTATTGCTATTTTGGAATTTTCTCTCCTCAAAATTTGCAATTGTAAGGGGAAAAGCCAAAGCCCCATTGCGACCTTAAACAGTTGAATATTATTATTGAATCATTCAACAACATATAACCGTTCCAACAACAATAAGCGCCAGCCAATAACGAAACAAGCTTCGACAATAAGAAAATAAGTAGACAATGACAACAAAATTCAAAGATGAAATGCAGTCAACTGATATGGCAACAACAGCCTACGTTACACTTTATCGTTCCCTTATAAGAACAACGACGTGTTGAGTATTTCATCTAAATTACTGCATCGCTTGAATGTTATCATATTGCTCAACTCAGCAGTCCATGAGATGAAAATCAGCGATCATCACATTTATACGCAGAAAAGGTTGTGAAATGAATCCACAAATCTACCATCCCATCTTATTAAGCAGCTCAATTTCTGAAGGTTTGCAAAAAATAACTGCAGCCAAATTGACAATCCATTTTACAATGAATGAGCTGTTTTCCCGTTTCCAGTGTGCTTTTCTAGATAGGAGATTAATCGTTACAGTTCCATTTTCATCCTAGCAAAACTGTGTCTCTCATTTAGAGGCTACACCGACCCATGCATATTTCGATTCCAAAAAGCGTTTGATTCGGTATCCATACCTAAATTAAACTTAAAATTACAAGCATGCGAATGGCATACAAGGTTGTTTGACCAATTGAATTCGTCGCTTTCTTATGAACCCCTTTCAGTCACTCCAAATTACCGATTCATTCAGTTCGTCAGAAAACATCAGCAGTGGTGTTCCTCAAGGTTCTCTTCACTTTCTTATTCTTGCTAAACGGTGCTTTTCTTCAAATTCATTATGCTTCATGTCTGCAAATGATGTTGAGATCTTCACGTTCTCCAACAATTTACAGCTACATTTAATTTCATAGACCAGTTGCCATCAAATTGCCTTTTACTGCTAGCTTCAGAACAAAAGAAATTAATTAGTATTGGTACGAGTAGCAATCCTAGTGACCTCAAAACATAATCAAGCCACAGCTACCGTCAACCTATCGTACAGGTCTCTATTGAATGTTTATGTGACATTTATTGTGATGGAGCTAAACGAAAATTTGCTCCCTTCTAGCTTAGGCTCATAATATAACGAGCAAGTATAATATTTGTCACTGAACAAATATTTGTACTATTTTAGCATGTTTCATCGTCAAGTGACACTGTTAAGCCAATGGTTATTATTAATCACTTAACAAATATCGAATGTCTTCACCCATTCACCAAATACAAACAAATCTTTCACGAATGTACCATGAATCTGTTGTAAAGATATACTGCAAACCTAAATAATCCTTTTGTGCATTCTGTTCCCAAACAAACTGTGTTTATGATGGTTGATAAGCAGGAAGCTTTAGCTAACAGCTCAACTTTATTCATTTCATTCGTTCAGCTAATGACTTGTCCGATGCTAAACTTTCATCAATGACCTACTGATGAATCGCTTTATCACAATGCAAACTGAATCAATTTTCGACGGAAATACCCCATATTAGGATAATCCAACTGTTGAGTATAACCAATGGTTCAAGCCACAGCTACCATCAGGTTGCAATCACACTAATGTTTCAGAGCTGATTTGACGAATTTGCGAAACCACTGTCAAATCACTCATTGCAGTTTGCGGGGATTAGTGTGGCCGTATGACCGAGACTACGCTCCCTAGCAATAGTACCAATATCCGGTTATTTTTTCCCATAATTCATTTGGTTTCGATTCGAACAATGCAAACGCTTGTTCAGCATTTCGGAGGCATATGTTGAGAACGAAATAAGGTGGAATTGGTTCAATTTGGCTTTGTTTTGTTTTATCTTTTAACCTGCTTATTCGCACATTGACACTTCAAAATAAATCCTCAATTTAATTTTATTCTAAACGATACATTTCGCAATCGTTTTCTTCAGCTTCGAGATATCATAAGGTATAATTAAGGTGTTCATGAAAAAATGGTCCGCTTATTCACCACCTTCAAGCAGAGCCTTATTTCTGCATTCTACAGATTGTGATGTTCAGCATGGGGCTTAGTCTAGCAACGCGGAACTGCGCCAGCTCACAGTGAAGCCTGGCGAGCCCATTCAGAGTTCGAGCGGTTGCTTGTAGCACCTCTTCTTCCATAGACACGTTTATCATCAGATTACCCACAAAGTTGTGAAACAAAAGAACATTCATTCCATTACAATTCTAGGTAGTGAAGATTGCTGCTCTTGTTATCTATTAATTGTAAGTGTCATGCGAGAACGCATCACAACCATACAATTGCCTCAAGCTATTCCAGATTGATCTTTTGAGTATGTGCGCATAACAATACAATGGTCAATTGCTTCAGCTGAACGTATGATTGCTGTAGTAACAAGCTTGAAGTCACTGCTTTCTATTAAAACAGCACAAATACCTTCAGTTAAGTGCAACGCTTACTCACTCATCTTGCATAGGTGCCATGTGCATGACCCTATCAAAAATATTATAATTAGCATGAATTTAAGGGATTATAGCATATCCATATCCTTTCTTTCGTATCTTACTCGCACGAAATGGTGTGCAAATGCGTTCGCAGTACTCAAATTGATTCGAAACTAACTGTGGGGGAAAATAGCCGGGTACCGTGCTGTAAGGAGACCTGTTGGTTGGGGGGCTGATTAACCTAGCACCAAACCTGGCTATCCCCTGGAGCCTAGGGCGAGTGGGCTAGCCGGAAAGGTTCCACACGGGAATTGAGTGGGGGAGGGTAGGCAGTGTCCGGTCTGAACTATAGATTGAATACAGATTGACGGTCAGTACTGAGGCTGCTGACTGGATTTGCAAAGAAGTGTTTTGATTGTTGTCTTGCCGAAGTCATAAAGATCTATTGGTGTTTTCGGCAGTAATACGATGAGTGAGTTATGATGAATGAATTTTGATTGTTTAATCGACAGTGTTCTACGCATCCGTCATGTTTTTTCTACTATTCGTCATTTGAGCTTCATTTGAAGCAAGTTTGATGATGCGGAAATAATGATGAAATTCACATATTCCGTTTATTTTAATACGCTGATTTGTTAATGTAATGAATCGTCGACTTTCAGTGCCGACTGTAACGAAACTGAAATAAATCGGATGGATGGATTAATAAGCATAGAATTGTGAATATAAAGAAGAATTGGCAAAAATGTCAATTTTTAGAGTTTGGTAGCCGAAAAAATTTGTGGAATTTATTTGTTTGTGTGGTGCTTGATGTGATAATCCGTTTTTATTTTTTTTGGTTGGACGGTTGATTTAATCGTGTGTATATTGAGATAGAGAAAGCATTTGGCTGAGTGGTGCGATGCTGGATGAATTCATGCACTGCTATTTTCACACATTTCTATAAGCTCATATTGTGTGTCTCTGGATTGATTCATTTTGAAAATATTCACTATTGATTAGAATAATGTATTTGAATTCGGTATAGAAATTATTTGATTCCGATCACAACTTCACGATTTGTTTTTTTTTTCAACGAAGAATATTTGGCTGAGATGAGTTACTGAATTTTATGTTTGATTGATTGATAATCACGTTTATTCATTGATATATGGCTTACGTAAGGATGAATCAGTAAAGCGTTTTCACGTCGTCAACAGTATCGGTTTCAGATGTCTTCAGTGTTGATAAGGGGTGCAGATGACGCAGCTCATGCGGCTGAACTCCTTAACAACAGTAAGTACCGTGCGTATGTAGCGGCTGTCGATAAAGCGCTACGAGCATTTGAAACTACCAACGAATGGGCCGATCTCATATCGGCACTTGGAAAACTTAGCAGGGTTGGTTAGTTGCTCTGAATTAGTAGTGCCCTGGTTTATTTGACCATTAAAATGAAATCATTTGTTCAGGTGTTTCATTCGAATGCTAAATTCGGCGACATCCCTAAGCCAGTCACAGTAGCGAAACGTCTTTCGCAGTGCTTACATCCAGCGCTTCCTCATGGTGTGCACCTGAAAGCATTAGAAACATATCGTCAATTGTTCGATATCTTAGGTCCTAAAGATCTCCCAAAATTGTTATATTTATTTGCTGTCGGTTTATTTCCATTGATGGATCATTGTGGTATTAAGGTTCGTTCTCGATTTTAGCCTTTTCTCTTAAACGAGCACATGCTCATTTTCATTTGTTGCTTGCTTGCATCCCTGAAATCTGGATGAAATAAATCTGTCAAATTTAGAACAGATGCACAAACACAATCGTTTGCACAGAGAATATCAGAATTCATGAACAATTATTGTATAACTCGGTTGCAAATATCTGATTGAAATCCGAAAAACTAACAAAACAACAAACGAACTTATTAGAAGGAACCAAAAACGATCGCTCATTGATTTACATGTACCAAAAGCTTTAAGCCAGATTCCCAATTTCAAGTCCATCATCACAGCGAATTGCTTTGAAATTGCAACAATTAGGAGCTGGTAATTTTTTCGCGCACTTCTTATATCCTTCAAGTTCAGGTCAAAAAAGAACTACTCGATATCTTCGAGCAATATCTGCTGCCGTTAGGCGCCAACTTGAAGCCAGCTCTACCAGGCTTCATAACTGGTGTTCTTCTTGGTCTTGAAGAAGGCACTGAATTCTATGACAGGTATTTGCTATCGAAGCTGCGTTCATTTCAGTGAATAGCATTTTGCGATAAAGAAATCAGATAGAGTATCATTTTGCGGCGCGGTTTCATACGTAAAATCCGAAAGTGAATTTTTCGCCATTGATATTTACAGTTTTTCTGCAAATAGCCTCGTTTTTTGTTGGTTTTTTCGATTTATATGGAGATGGTCTGATTTTTGGTTTTCTCTGAAAGTGGCATAAAGATATCCATATCGATTTCTAGGGTAGTTATGTACATAGAAACCAGAAAATGAATTACACTCTTCTCGACGTCATTCACCGTCATGAAACTATACTATTAGATGACACTTTTTTCGAGGTCAACAATGTCCGCCACACCCGTATATATGTATCTGAAAGCAATAAATAATGTGTGCGTCAATTGACTCTGGATTTGTGTGCATCATTGTCCATTTTCTGAACTCGGCAAAAAATTTTGCATAGCTGTTTGTTTGAAAAAGTTCATCTCCGGATTTCACGTACAATACTGGCCCAAAAATGATATTGTCTTCTTTACGAGTTGAAATTACAATGATTCTAATCCAACGCCTAGGCATCTCACAGTACTCATACACAGTTCAGATCATTCACTCTTCTTGACCAAGTCCAAGAAGGGGTCGGTGCCGAATCGTTTTTTGCTTGCCTTTGGGAAGCAGTTCTTGGCTCACCATCTGTTCGATTGCCTGCACTCATATACGTTAATGCCAAATTCGATCGACACAAAACGATGGATGCTCAGACGTTTATCATGGGCAATCGTGTTGATCATATGGTTAGAAAACATTTATGGCGAAGAATTAAAGTGAATTTATCCAATTCAATGAAGAATAGTTAATATGTTGTTCTGCAGATTGCTGCACTATGTGCGGTAGCTGACGATGAAGGTTCCACGTTGGTGCAGCGAAATTTGCTTGACTTTCTTTGCACTGCATTCCCGCTCAATTCCAATTATTTAGTGCAGGAGAACTTTGTGCAGGTTTATTTTTATTCTATTTAATAAGTAACCTTTTGAAACGTCATTTGCCAACTTTTCACGTGAGATGATCAGCTGATTGTGATGATATTGAAATTGGTGAGGAGTATTTGATTTGAGTTGCTGCGGCGCTGTTTGTTTGTGGTGTTGCGTCGTGATATGAGTTTGAATAGACGTTTGTATCAATGGCTATTGAATCGCTCCGGTGATGCGAATGTCAGTGGGATTCCGATTGGCAGTTCAGATGAACAACTGGACACTTCATTTTTCCAGTAAGTTGATCTATTTTCTTTGAATCAACAACTCTTGTCTGTTTAATGATTGATTCGAATCACTTGAAGGACCTATGCTCTTCCACTGATAAAGAGTGCAATCGAGCAGTATCTAATGTTGGATACAATTGAAGTGGCTAGTGCTAGCGCTGCGTGGGACGGTACTAAGGTTTGTATGTTCGTTTTGCATTCATTTGAACATTTACGGTGAAATTGCCTCGTTGTGTTAATTCTGATTCACTGGGTTATTCACTCAATTCTGTTTATGATATTGTTCATTGGAGTGAGTGATTGTTAAATGCTTGACTGTGTTCAGGAACATCAGTTACAGTTCACTGAAGTACGTGTTTGTCGTCTTTTATTGTACTTAATGGACCGACCCGAGCTGGGCAGTTTGATTCTTGAAGAAGCATTACCAATGCTTTTGCAGTGTACATCTCGATACGAAAATCGTCGTAATGCAGAGGTTTATCCTTCAGTTTTGATTTGGTTTGGATAAATCGCAACTGATTTGTGTCTCTTTCAAGGAAATGCACTGTGCAGATATACCGTCTTCTGCAGCAGCTTCGTGTGAAATGTCCCGTAGAGGCAGTGTTCTCAGTCGGACATCAACTTCGTTCATTTCATCAGCACACAGCTCATCCGCACATAACACTAGAACTCCTTCTGATCTGGTTATTATTAAAAACTTTATAATTTCATTAATATGGATAGTGTCCTTGTTTGTGTGTGTATTTTTTCAAGAAAATTTTCAGGGTAAACGCCTTAGCGAGATTGATAAAACATTGAATTTATTATTGAATTCGCGTGATGTCGGTTTCATCTGGAATTTTCTGCAACGACGATTTAAAATGTAACGATACAAATATTTTTGGGTTTTTAATACGCAATTTCGACAATCTAACGTATTTTAAAAGATTCATTCATTCATATGCGATACGGTGAATGTGTGTGTGTTAAACAATGTGTTGAAACAAGCACACTGGTGTGATGCATTATATCTGATGATAAACTTTTTGAGTAGAGATTTTACATGGAGAATTTTTGGTTTTGTTTGATTTTGATGGACTCGGTTTCATGTCACAAATGGAATGAATCTCTATACTGCATTTGATTTCAGATTGATGGAACCTGAGAAGTCAACGGTGGAGGTGAATGGCTGTATAGATTCGAAAGCACTTGCGCTTGAAACGCAACAGTTCAAGAAAGAAGACCAACGCAGGAAATCTGAAGAATTGGATCAATTCGCAGCAGTATGGTGTTACTTGCTGCTGCTGCTGCTTAATAATTAACTCAATAGTGTGCTAGGATTGAGTTAAACTGTTCTTAGTTGAGCTTCAGTTAGTTAGTTCGAAAATGTTGAAATGAACACTGATTGCGAGTGATACACACTAGTGATGGCATTTCACTGCGACACTCGATTATAGGAATTGTTCGATGGGAATTCAACCGAATTCACATTTGAACAGTCGGAAGTGTTTGATGAGTAGTGTCGTAAATAATAAATGATTGTAGATGGCTTCATTTTGCATTCATACGGTTAATCTGGATGGGCACAGTGATATTCGCGGCAAATATCTTCCAATGTTGTTGCATACGGTTTTGTCGACGATTGCTGAGCGACGAGTGACGAGTGTGGAGAGTGCACTGCTGTTGAATGTGATTCAGTTGTCGCGGTGTATACTCGTCAAAATCAACCAGAGTGCCACTGCTCTCGAAGCGGGTGGTTCGTTTTTTTGATTGCACACATAACAACTCTTCATTAGCATCGTTTTTCAGTGGCAACTGCACAGCAGCAGGAAGCCAATGCAAACATGAGTACTGAAGAAACTACTGATTCTTCAGTAGTATTGCAACATCGAGCATCACCTCTCGAGTTTGGATTAGCAGGTAATCTAGGCAGAAAGAAAAGTATGATGATAGCATGACAATAAGAAAGATCGACTCTTGTAAATTAATCTAGACGAAAAACCAATAATCTGTCGTAAATTTTCAGAACAGCAACGAATTGAAGAATGTGTTGAGGATTGTGAACGGATTCTGGCACAGGTATGTGAATGGTATTGTGCGAAACGATGTGCGGAACGGTTGAAAATATTCCGTGCCATTTCGGCACTGCAACGAGAATTCGCCGATTTCCCACTCTATACGTTTGCAAATGGTTCGCTACACTCTCTCTTTTCGTTGTGCACCACTCAGACAGATTCAATCGCAGGTCTCTAGCGCTTTTGTTATTGCAAGCACCTTTGTTTCAGCATTCGTTATGACGAATCGAATGCGCTCTGCGGATGGCGGCGGCGGCTATTCCGAGTGGTTGCGTGGGCTATTGAACGTTGTTTTGTTTGACGCTTGGAATCGAGCCGATAGTAGTTGTGCAACATTTCAACAGAACTGTGAGTGGTGCATTTTCTTTTTACAGCACATTTGTTTACGATTTTTTCAATAGAGTGAACCATTCGACTTAAAAGATTTATGAATGGAGTGTTTCACGATGTTCATACGAAGTTTCTTATCGAAGTTTATTAATTTGACAAAATTTAGATTCACCGAAAAGAAGTCGGTGCTATGAAGCAACACCGAAAATGTGTTGTAGCTCAGATGATTTTTGGGCTCGTGCAGATGCAATCGACCTGATAACGTATGTTTATGTGCGTAGTGTTTCGGTGGCTGAACAACACGTCGCGTTACAAGGTCGTAAGAAGCGCTCTTCATTTGAACCGGCTGCCACGGTTTCTGCTTCCAGCAGGTAGTAGTATCACATCTGATCAGTACACTTTTGATAGTAATGCCTAAATATTTCTAGTACACCGTCAAAAACAACTACTACAGTTCTATTGAAGCCATTACTTTGTGAAGCCGAACTGAAGCGTATGGAAAACGATGGAGTTTTTGTGGTATGTACTGTGGTTGTGTTCGATTTGTTCATTTAAAAAAATCAATCGATGAACGTGTTGAATTTTAGAAAGCTGCCCATGTTGTGTGGTCATGTTTGGGTGATTCGACAAAGGCATGCTGTCACGAAATGGCTGCTCGTCTACTAACATTATTACATTCTCGAAAAGTCAGTGAAGCAAGCAGCGATGTAGAAGATCTAATTGTGGCTCATTTGACAAGTGCTGATAAGGTCAGTTCTGATAGCATCATTCTTTCATATCACCTGATCGATACTGTTGTCGTGCGTGTGAATTAATTGATTCATTTCAGTTGTTGAGTGGGGCGGCTGCACGTAAATTTCGTACTTTATGGATGTTGAATAGACGAACTATAGATAAGGATATATATCCAGGAGTACCGTCGAAACCCTTCAATAGAGTTGTGATGAAATTGCTTGGTATACTGGTGGATGATACGAGTGGCTGTGAGAAGGCTGAACTGAAAAGCACTGTCACATCGTGGTTTGTTGATTGTGCTCGACATAACGACTTACCGAGAATATTGCAGGTAAATAGGCACAACATTCGATTCCCCTTTCTGTTCTGACTTGTTGTCTCACTACCATAATGGTTGCAGATGATTGCAGTAATGTTGTTGAATCCTACAACAGCGCGCATTTCAATCCAGTGTCTTAAACTGCATAATCGCATCTCTAAACAACAGGTATTGTTATCGATTATCATTCACATCATCAAATGAAGTTACCATCAAGAAATATATGCAGATCCCGTCGATGCCATCAGGAATGAGTGCAGTGACCCTATTGGCGCAAGGGGGACGTAATTCACTTCATCACGTTTGCGAGGATCTTTCATTGGGTACCGCATCGTTGAATCGAAAACGATCTTCCGAAGCAGTTGAAGCACTTGAAAATATCAGAATCAGTCAAGAGTATGTTTTTGCATTGTTCCAATGCGTCGTTTCGACTACACGCTCAATGAATTTTCAGTTTGCCAAGCTGGTATGTGGAATTGAGGAATCGTTTGTTACAATACGGAGAAACGGATAATTCTGCTGAAGTTAACGTTGAAGTGAGTCCATCGAGAGCACACAAGCGAACCGCATCTGGCCTACCGATTTTCGACGATGACAACGTTCGTTCTTGCATTATTGTCGACCTCTTTGGATTTGTATTCCGTTAGAAAAAGTCAAAAGTAATCTTTGGGATGTAAATCAATCAATCTAGAGATACAGGAATCAGTGGGAACGTTATCATTGGATTCGGTCGATCCATCTATTTATGAGGTGGTGCAATATATGGTGGATCGAGTTTGTGAAGAGGAGAACGACAAGTGGGCAGACAGAAGCATGAATACTGAAGGGAATATGCAGCATCATAACGCGTTTACGTCGAGTCGAACTACAAATGTGATAAGTGATGATCACTCGTGCACAGCGCCGTTGGTTTTATCTTCTTATCCATTCGGCAGTATTTGATAATTGACGGTATGTATATGTTTTGGTTTTGATTGCAGAAAATTATCCACCGAGAGCACTCACTTCGAATGGTCATCTTCATCATTATCAACCAAAGAGGATCGTCGAGTGCTACAACGACCGTCTGAGTGCAGTTTGTTGGAAGGTGGTGAAACAATGAAACGCTTCAAGAGTGGTCATCGTCGGCAAGGCTCTTTACAAGAAAGTATACTGACGATGAGTGCACAAGAGTTGAAGTTGTTTGATGCGTCCGAACTGCCGCGTTTGCCGAGCACCGAAACGGCAAACGACGACGAAGAGGATGAGCGTGCACTGTGTGATGAAATACACGCACACATGTTGCTGTACATGGAGAGTGGACGTGTGGTGGATTTGGGACGTGCCGAGAAGTTGCTTCGCATGTTAATTGCGTTGATGCGATCGCAACGAAGTTGCTCGGCTGCCAGGATGATCGTCAGGTACGTGTCGAGTGGTACTCTGTTTTGAGACTGACTCAATCATACTGTTGCAGTTGTATGGTCTCATCGGATATAGCCCCGGTGCCGAATTCCACGTCGAGTAGCAGCAGTTTCGATCAACTAATCGATTTATCTTCAAGACATGTACGTGCAATTTTGGGACAAGAATTTTGGCTATCGAATGAAGCTGAAGGGAATGGCTCGTCGGCAGGTGATACCAATAAAAGCAAACCTCAAACATTCCTTGAACTTTATATGAACGTTAGTTATAGTTTCTTTCATTCATTCTCATTCTTAAACGACTTTATGTATTTTCATAAGTGCATTGTTGAAGTGAACTTCTTCCTACTAGCTGCTACCAAAAAAACAAGCGAATCGAAAACCGAAATAATTTTGTTTTGTGGTGAACTGTGTTCAATTTCTAATTTGAATTCAACGAATATCGAGTGTGCATAATGCAAATGTGCCCATCCACAAAACTTTCTTATTGAACAGTTCTTTTTATACTCGTGTAATTCTTTCTTTTTTTCAGGTGTCACTTTATTTTCTGCGATCGTATTTCCTCAATTCACCAACCACACCTGTTACTGACTCCGATTTGCGTACTGCATGGAAATGTAAGGTATGGTTGGTAGTCGTTATTTGACGCTTCTTCTTCAACAGTCATAAATCGATGCATGGACATTGATTGATTGCTCAGTTTGTAAATTCAAAATCCGAGATTTTTCATCTGTTCATTTTTCATCTGCACAGTGTGATCGTGTTGGAAATCAAATCGTGCCCAAACTATTTGTGCAACAATCGTCTGAACGCCATTAGAAAAATAATTTTCTTGTTCGTTTTAGATGGCTACTTTAGAATTCTTATCTGAATTGGTGCGTGAATTAATTTCAATGATACGAGAGAATCAGTCACGTGCATTGGTTGCCTATGTTCATGGTATACTGCAACGATCCAAACTACAACGATGTCTTTTACATTCACTATTAGCGTCCGTTTATAATCTCAGAGCTAGCTCACGTGAAAAGTATCTCCTGTTTTTTTTTTGCATTCATCCTTTTAAAAAATATCATCGTAAGCAAATTTGCAAATGAATTCGCATTTAAGCAAGCAATTAAGCATTCATTGATTACACACACTTTCGGACAACCAATCAATCAATCGTTCATGATCGCGTCGTACTACACTTTTGAAGTGTTTTATCAAAAACTCAACTTAAAGATTGTCACTTTCTGTGGATATACTCGAATTTAATGATGGACCGTTAGCATATGCTGAACAATTTGATGATCTTATTTACGGATACCAAAATTCATTACTCGATCTCACCGCGCTTTTTATACAGTTAGAACTGGACATCAAGAATGGATTTCAAAACTTCACTGATCAGGTCTTCTTTTCTTGTTGCTGAATCGTTTTCTTTTTTCCTTTTCAAACCTCTCATTTATAAGTTCTGAAGTGATGATATCATCTAATGAAGAGAATTTTATTTAATCACATTTAATTCAGAATGTAAGCGGCAATTATGCGGAGAAGCCATCTATAAACAATCTGATCTATAATTCACCACAACATCGTTCCACACTCCGAGAACAGCACGGAAGCTTGGTGGAATTATGCAAATTCATTTTGACAGTGCGTAACGCACTCAAAAAGAATCTGTCACGACATGAACTTTGGCATTTCTTCATTGTGCAAATACTTCCGTTCCTTGACAGGTGCAAATACGCCATTTCACGTAGACAATTTGATTTGGCAATAGTCATCAAGCCTCTGAAATGAAACGAACTCATCCATAACTTAAGGTCGTTACCGAAATTCTGTACACTCGTCGCTGAACAACTGTGTAAAAATCTTGAATCGGTCGTATGTGCAGCGTATACTCGTCTCACGGAAGAAACTTGTGAAAATGATGAATTCACACTGATCGAAAGGCATTATGATAACCGCTTGAACTATCCACCAAATTATGCAATTGGGGTGCGTCTATTATACTCGTTTTGTTGTTTCTTTTCGTCACAGTATTTTTATGATTACCTGGATGGGCCAAGAAGGCTGTCAAACGTTTGTAGCTGAATGCTCGCAATGTTTCCATTCGCACTGTTTTAGCCTTGATTCTAGACACCCGGCTGGCTAGACGAGCCGGCCAACAGAATGAACACAGTCTCACGAGTAATTAATTAGTTGAAAACCGTGAATACTTTGCATAATTAAACGTCGTAGCCAAATACCAATCCAATGAATAATCATTACT